TAGTAAAGTTTTAAATTGAAATCCGTGTTTAATGTGATATGAATATATATTGATGTGATATTTTGAATATAAAACTAAATTTTAATATAAATATAGTAAATAAAAATTAATTTTTTGATTTAATATTTTTTTTAGATAAAACAAAAATGAAATAGCAAAATCATTTCAAAATCTCACAAATAAGTATTTTTAGTATTTAAAAATATTTTGTATTTTTATTCTAGTTATTGAGAATTATAAAAATATTATTAAGTTATTTAACTATATTATTTTATAAGAAAAAATAATATAAATTTAGCTTCGTACCTTTGTATATTTACAAAGAAATAAGACTAAATTTGATGGAAGAGAAAAATATTATTAAAAACAGTGATTATTGGTGTGTGAATTTTTTTTTCCATAAACTCTTACATCACATTTATATCATTATTAATAAATAAATTCAATTTATGTTTCATTTTTCATATTTACTTTTGAATGAATTTTATGTAAAAATGGTATTTACATTAAAAGTTTTATAATAATAATTATTTTTTTTAAAATTCATTCAAAATATAACATATTTAGCATAAAAGAAAAAATAAATTATTTTTATTTTATTTTAATATTTCACTAAATAAAAAGTAATTAAAATAAAAATACATTACAAACATTACACAAATTAATCAAACTAATTAATCGAATTCATAGGGATCAATTGATAGATGAGGAAGAGAACCCAGGACCATCTAATACATCATTTTTTAAACTCCATATAAAAAAAAGAAAAAACTAATTTTATGGGACATAAAGAGTATTATATGATGTAATTTCAAGTTCTATGATTGAAAATATCAATGATTCCTTTAAACTTTCGTATCCCCAAATCCAATTGTTTAGAGTGATATGAAACAAGGCGTGACATCTCAAATTATACTGGAACTATTCTTGCCTTACCATGTATTGTTGGTTTGTTTAAAGGATTGTGCGATATGAGCTTCATCACTTTTGTTGCCTTTTCGACTACTTTTCAATTCAAGAGAGTCGAGGTATCATCCTACATCCATCCCTCTATTCCTTTTACTACCAAACTTCCGCCCAATTATATTATTATTCACTCATATTGAAATTCAATCTGAATTTTTATTTTTGACAAATTCTCATCACCACGTATATTATTTTTATTTTAAAAACTCATTATCTCTTATAATAATAATAATAAAAATGATTTATAATCTAAAAGGTTTTGAAGTTTAAAATTTAACAAAATTTTATCTATAAATTTGACAACAGTAATATTAATTTCTTAAGTTAAATATTTTTGTTTTACCCATTTTCTTTCAATGTCATTTTTTTTAATATTAATAAATATTATTTATAGACAGTTAAAATATATACAAGTAAATAAATTATTGTAGATTTTATAAAAAAAAAGAAATAATTAGTTGAAGGCAATGATTAATAAGAATGTTAAAAAAAATAAGTTGAATATTGATGTAAAATTGATATAGATAAAAGATAAAAAAAAAAATAATAAATAAAGTAATTGAGTAAAATAATTATTACAACACATGCTATAACCTAGCTTAGCTTAGCTTGCTTTCTCGGCTCTTATTCACTGCTCATGTGTTGGACCATTGCACCTGGATGGTGCACTGATAGAAAATAATAATAATAATAATAATAATAATAATAATAATAATAATAAATAAAATTGTGTTTAAAAAGTACGGCTGTGTTTATTTAGGGGGTCCGGACAAATTTGAGTTTGAATTTGATTTTTATTTGAATTTTGAGATGTGTTTGAATTTTGTTGTTTTTTTGTGTTTGAGTTTGGTTGGGGTTTTGGGAGTTTTGATGTGTATTGATTTGATGGATAATGAATAAGATAATATAAATGTATATTAAATTTAATTGATAAAATTTATATTATTTGATTTGATTATAAATTTATATTATACTCAATATATATATTTAAATTTTTATTATAAAAAATTTTATTCTCTACAAAATGACATATATATTGTATATATATTTTTACCATATAATTATTATAAATATTAAATAAATATAATATTTAAAAACATATAAATTAAAAAAAAGAAAAAAGAATGCAGCAAAGGCTGCATTCGGCAAAGGGAATCGGGCTGGTTGGGGAGAAAAACACTGTGTATAGTGTTTGCACAGTATTTTTTCCCAAACCACCTTGCGGGTATAGACCCGTATAATTATGTTATATATATATACTAGAACCCGCTTTTGCGTGGTATACCGCGCGACTATTCTATAATGCAATCTGTTACGTACAAAAAGTAATAATAAAAAGAAAGGAAGCAGGATCTTAAAGGAAGTTATGCACGAAGTCAGGTGGAAAAGAAGAAAAATTTGCGTTGAGCTCCGTTGGTCTGTTCGGTTGTTCTTGGGTCGGTTGGCTGTCGATCGGATCTGGACGTTGGAAGGTCTGCGGTCGGATAGGGAAGTCGGTTGGTCCTCTTTCAGTAGGTCAAGTTGGTGGGTCCGCTGTGGCATAGTCAACTTGGTTGGTCTTCGGTCAGTTCGCAGGTGGGTAGGTCTGTGGTTGAATAATCAGGTTGGTTGGTTAGCGTGTCGGATGGTCTAAAGTTCTGAAAGTCTGCAGGTCGGTGGGTGAGTCGGTTGTACGAGCATGCCGGTTATTCAGCAGTCGGGTAAGCGGGTCGGATGCGATCGGATATGCAAGTCGGTTGGTACGTCGTCGGACGGAGAAAATTCGGTTGCCTGCTAAGTGAACAGTAGGTTGGTCCTACTTTCGGATTTTACCTTTTGTTTATTGGAAAAATACATCAACACTTATATACCCTACAATCTTTAGAGATTTCTAATGTAATTATTCGAATTTAAGGATATTTCTATATATTTGAATTTTACTTTTTGTTTGTTGGATAAATGCATTAACACAATGGAATTATGAATTTATAGTAGTAAGAAATTTGATAAATATATGTAGCCGATAGATATTCAAAATGTTGTACGTACATATCGGATAGTAATATTACAAAAGGTAGGCAGTTTAGTAGTTGGATGTAGTACAGAACAAAAGATATTGTAGAAAAGCTTCACAACTATTTTTTGGATTCTTTCGGTGGAGCGACCGAATTCTTGTTCGTTGACACTTCATCCTTTGATTTGTGATCATTGATTGATTGCAACTCATTGAATAGTGGCAGCAAGTTCTTTGCATGTTTACCTAAATAATGTTTTTTGTATAAGTATAGTTGAAACTATGAAATTGTACCTATGTTTATTATTTTATATTGTTGGGATGATATATTGTTGTTCTTACCAGGAACAGATGATTTTAAGGTATTAGTTGTGCAGGTTGCTTTCTTCTGCATTTCAGGTGTTATCCCAGTGTGTTTGTGTACAATAGGGTGGTTCTTTGACAATGTTTCTTGGGCAGCAATTTCCTTATCTGTACATGAATATTATTTGTTATATAAATGAGTAGTATATAATTACACCATAAGATGTATTAGTCATAGTTGTTTTAATGATAATGTAATGTACCTTTGTTTTCTTTGGTAGCAGACATAAGTGTGTAAGTATGTGTTTCTATTTGGGATGCTGCAGCGGCCTTTTTCTTTATGTGAAAGAGGTATGATTGGTTTTGAAGTTCTTGATTGCGCAGATTGCATAGTGAAATGATTTCCTGTGTAATATACATATATATATAATGAGACAGTATAGTACTTTGATGAAATATTTAAAGTATAACCTGTTGTCCTAGTTCATTCGACTCTGGTATGTCAAAGTTCAGAATTTGTTGCGCTATATTGTCATAAGCAACGCAGGTAATTGATCTTGTCTGATCAACAATCTGTAAGCGCAGAATTGACCTGTTTGTACATGTGTATTGTTACGTGTATATAAATATATATCAAATTTTCAATGTGTATAAAGTAAAATAAGTAGACTTTCTTACTTTTGCTCCGACGATTGGACATATTTGCACCTTAAACAAAAAAACTGCCGTGTTATTGGGGCTGGAGTTGATGTGTAACACTTATCGCAGACGTTGTAGTGGAGTTGCACTTTCTTATCCACTTTGATTGACAAACATCCCTTGATTTTGTACTCACCTTGCTATATCAGGCAAGTTTTTGTTTACTTTATGATGTTTTATTTGTATATAAACAAATATACATTATAAATAACTCACGCGAGTAGATTGTGACATGGTTGCAATTGTTGAGAGAGTTACTACAGCTAGCGGGCTTCCTTTGGCTGTGTTGAAGTATGGTTTTTGGATTACAAGTTCATCAATGCATACTTTATTATTGAGTTTCCTGTGATGTAAAATGTTTTGAATTAAAATGAAATTTTTAATTGATTTTCAATGGGAGTGTAGTGTTGTGATATAAAAAATATAAAATATTGATTTGATATAGAAAAAATTACCAGCTCAATAGATGGTTAGCTTCAGGATATGGAGGATCAATAATAAAATTTGCCATGGAAATTGCAGATAACGAAATACCTTGACATGCGAATATAGAATCAAATGAAGTGAAATGGTAATTAGGTGGACTACGATACAAGTATTGACAATAATTTATATATGTTGAGTCAAATAAGATTGATGCATAAACTACCTGTATATAATGTTGCTTTCAGGTAGAGGGCCGCAATGATAGGTCTTTCCTTCACAATGGATGTGAAGTATTTTCTTTCAGCGTCCACCAATTCATTTCATAAGGTCAGTTTTGTCGGTAGCAATCTATTATGCATGAAAATTAATGGAAAAAACTGTGTGAAGAACATATGCTACTATGAATTTGGTAAATTTAGTCTACTATTAAAAGAAGTCGAATACAAATGGAAGCTGATAAAAATTTAGTATATTTATTTCTAAATATAGTTGTTAGGCATAATTATTGACATAACTTCTTTTAGAAGAAATAAATTGTGATTAAAGATGAATACATACATTGATGTGAAAAAGGTGATAAAAATATAATGATACTAAAATATCTCTACTTGAATCTATGCTTACTCCTCAGTTACGATTACAATCTCTTGAACACGATCTCCTATAATGTTGGAAGAGGTCGGTTGTTGACGTTTGTTTCTTTGCTTTTGTTCTGCAACATCTATCAGTACACCGATCACATCTGTTTGATATGTATCATATATTAGGTATAAATGCAAAAATATGGACAAGCAAATGAATTATAGCCTAAACATAATAGCAGTTATACCGATGTACTCATTTGTTGCTAGGCAATCACCAATGCATGAGAGCTTTTTGAAAGATGGCTTTCCAGTTAGAGAAGATATGGCATTAGTTTCGACAGGAACGATGCTGCATTGTCTGTTGAGATAGAGCTGGATTTCAGAGTTGAAGTTTGGTAGATCCGTCTTGTAGTCTTTGCCTTGTTTAGCTAATATCTCGTAGGTCTTAAAGAGTTTTAAACAATGATCATATGCTTCCATGTCCGCAGAAAAGACATACGTCATGAGTTTGGTGCCCTACAAAATAAGTAAATAAGATAGTTAACCCCGAAAAAAGTAATTAGTAATGTATAAAATTGATTGATCAATTTTCTTCTACTATAAAATAACTAATAATAAATTATTAGCATAATAAATATGATTAATTTTAAATTCTATTCAATATTAGATAAAGTATATTAAATGTAAAATTTAGATAGTAGTATATAAATTCAATCAATTATTTTTATAAGTAGGATTGTTTGAATACCTGTGTGTCAACAAAGACGTATCGTCTGTAGGGCTTTCCACTGGTCTTGGCTGTTCTGATAGCGGACATTTCTACGAGTAACGCATGGACTGTCCATTTTCTATTTTCCATGGTTAAATCAGTTATGGGTGTTATGTCGTTAGCCATTGGCTTGTAGTGATTAGCAGTAAGGAGAATTGATGGAAGAGTGATGAACCGTGTGAAAAAGAAAAGCTAAGGAAGAATGTAGCACATATTAAAAGTCAATCTTGTTTTTATAATTAAATGGATGTTGTTGGCGTGTTACTGTGTTAGAGTGGTTGCTGTGTTAGAGTGGAAACTTTTATGTAAGAAGTGATAGAAGTTAGTGAGTGACACCCTTTTTATGTAAGAAGTGATAGAAGTTAGTGAGTGACACATTTTTTTATGTAAGAAGTGATAGTAGTTAGTGAGTGGCTGGTTCTATGTGTTTATTTTGGTCAGGTAGATTGACTCTAGTAGATATAGTTACGTATGTAGATTAACTTTGTAGCTGAATTTAAGGTAAGGGATGTGATTGCAGTTAGTATTTTTGTAAATTGTGTGTTTATTTAAATGATTGGTTGTATCAGAGTCTGGTTTTTTGGGTATTCATTATCATAAATGCAATACTTTTTTTTTTTATTTCAACCATTATTATTATTATTATTATTATTATTGGGCAGAAAAAATAATAATAATAATAATTAATAACCGTAGTACGATTGTGGATGGGTCTGAATATAAGCTAAACGGCTCAGAGGTCGGTTGAAAAAGGAAGTCTACCGAAGATGGAGATGGAATGGTACGCAGTCGGATAGGCAAGTCAGTTGCTTTGGAGTCTGACAAAAGAAAGTTGGTCCGTTGGTCTATAGTTCGACGAAAGTAAGTTGGTTAGTTGGCCCACGGACGGGCAAAGGTAAGACGGTATGGTAGTAGAGTCAAAAGGAGGTCGGTTGGACCAGTCGTCCATCTAAGGAGATAATGCGAGCAGAGGATTCTGTTTCGTCGTCGGTTGATCCACGGTTGGTTGGTTCTCAGTCGGCTGATCGGGGGTCGGTTGGTTCTCAGTCGTTTAAATAGGTCAGATGGTCGACAGTCGGTTGAGCAAATCGGGCGGTCCGCGGTCGGTCGAGTCGGACGACACGGAGATCGGCTGATATGGTGGTCGGTTAATGCCGACTTCGGAGTAAGTCAGTTCGTGCGAAGAAGAATGGGACGACCGGTACGTGGTCGGACAAGAGGAAAAGACCGACAGAAGGATAAAACGGCCCATACGGAGGTTGGCCGAAGAAAGGTCTGTTAATTGGTCGCCCATATTTGTGAACAGTAGTTCAGTCGCTTGATTGTAGCGACCAATAAATCCTCTGGAGGAATGGTTGTTCGGCCATTTCAAGGCGACGTATGGTGGTCGCTTGTTTATGCGACCAATGAATCATCTGGACGAATGGTTGTTTAGCTGATTGAAGTGACCAGATGGTGGTTGCTTGATTGGGCGACCAATGATTCGTTTGCTTTAGAAAGATGAGAAATTAATTATATAAATATATATTTTTTATATCTGTGTAACGAACGAATTTTCAACAATATATATTTTCTTTAGATAATATTTTTTTTCTATTTTATTAAAAAATGATTATGTACAAGATCATATATATACTTAATTAGTCGGATGAAAAGGAGAAGAAACGTCCGGTAGGTAGTCGTTTGGGATACAATGATGAGAGAAAAAATATAATAAATTATATAAATTTATATTTTTTATATTTGTGGAACCAACGAATTTAAAAAATATATATATTTTTCTTTCGATAATTTTTTTTTTCTATTTTGTTAAAAAATTATTTTTTACAAGATGATATATATACTGAATTGGTCGGATGACAAGGAGGAGAACCGTCCGTTAGGTAGTCGGTTGAGATAAAAAAATGAGGGAAAGAAATATAATAAATTATATAATAGATATTTGTTACGTACAAAAAATAATAATATTAATGATAATGTAGCAGGGTTTGAAAGGAGGTTGGTTATAGCAAGGTTGGTCCAAAGAAGGTCGGACAAGGAAGATGAGACGGACGATAAGGAGGTCGGGCCTATTGAGGTCGGTCGAAAGAGTTAGTTTTTCGCCTGGTAGGATCTGAACAGGCGTTTCTCTTGAATGGGCCCCCTAGAAACTTTCATTTGTTAGATTTTATTTGTGGGTCCGATTAGTTAGATTATCACCATACGCCGAAAGAAACCCTAAATTATTTAACAATTTGGCTTTTCCCGCAGGACTCCCTGCCGTCATTTCTCGATCAATGTGAGATGTGATTTGTTGAGGGAGTCAGATGATTATTACGGTGTTTAATTTGGGGTTTTTGCAGAAAAACCTTACTTAAATCCCCTTCGTCTTCATCTTCTTCCTTACGCGTTCTAATTGCTTTTCTGCTTTTGCGATCCAATACTTTCTCTTGGTCTTTTCGCGCTTTGCTGTTTTCAACCATGGCTAACCAGTACGTCCCAGCTCTACCTTTTGATGGTTCATATCCAGAAATCCCTTTTGTTTCTTCTGCTGTTCTTACTCCCACTGTTCGTCCTTATTGTACATCTTCTGAGGATGCTGTTCGTATGAAGAGTATTATCTGTTCTGTAACTCCCTTAGCTATTAACAGCCCTGATTTCAAACCCGAACGCATTAATGATCATATTAAAACACATCTTACCGATCCCAAAGATGCCTTTCGTTCTTGGTATTCGAGGCTATATCCCGTTTTTCATGAACAATGGCAACGGCAAGGGATTGATAAGGCCATTTTTCTAGCGACTCAACCGTTGTATCTTCACGACAAAGTTCTTTTTGCTATGGCTGCCTTTTGGAATGCCCAATTGGGTGTTTTCCTTCTCCCAACTGGCCCCATGGGCCCAACTCTGATGGATGTGGCTATGATTGCCCACCTCCCCGTGGTTGGTGACGACCTTGTCCTTGGGTCGTTGGATGGGCAAGAACCAGCGCCCGACCATGAAGGCTGGTCGCTTGCGCGCATACCTGAGAGGGAACGCAGCTGGACCTACTTTGTCCTCTGCTTTCGGGGTACAGAGGGTTCTCCAGTAAATGCCTTGGAGCACACCGCTTTTCTGCTGTTCTGGCTATGCAGGTATAGAATTTCCTCTATGTAATTCATTTTTTATATATTTGTTTTTATGTTGAACCTTCTTTTCTGCTCCTTTCTTCAGATATATAATTCTTTCTCCCTCAAAATCAATCTTGACCTCGCAACTTGACTTAGCCATCCACTTAGCCACTGGTCGCTTCTTTTCTTTAGGGACCCTCTTTTTGGCCAATTTGTATGAGGGGTTATCCAGAGTTAGCGACCGTCTAGTAGATACGAAGAGGGCGGACACAACTGCGTCTGGTCCTTTTTGGTTTTTGTAGCTTTGGCTGAGACTCTATTTTCCGAACGCCTTTTGTGGTCGGTGCCCATTACCCCGAACCCTCGTAGATCTCTTGGTTTAGCCCTTGCTCAGCTAACTCCAAACTCTTCCAGTCTTTCTCTTTCTGACCGTGTAATTTCGGCTATTCTTTCGGGCGACCGTAGTAACTCAAAATTTTTTATCTATGAGCTTTACGTTCAGTATCTTACTGAATGTTTTTGGCCTTATTCAGAAACCAATTACCCCTTGTCGTATCCAGACCCTTTGCCTCACCCGAGCTATCCTCATTCTTGGGACTCAGCTCTTAAACCACGGTCCCTTTCTTCTAGTCCCAAGTTTGATAAGAGAAACCGTAAGTCTTTTCATACTTTTAACTATCAGCCGCAATTTTTGTCTTGACAGTTCGGCTGCTGTCAAGGTTTACCGGGTCCACTCGCCCGTCCACACCTAATAACTCAGAGCCCCGACGGGCGAGTTACCCCTTCTTTGATTTCACCTTATCTCTCCCAGCTGATTTCTTACATAGCTTCCAACTCCTACCTTCCTTTCCGCCGTGACCCCAAGACGGTGGAAACCTTTCCGTCTTGGTGGTCGGATACTTGGGCAGTGGTGGCCCCTTCAACTGACCAATTGCTGGCGATATTAACCCCTCCTCCAGCACTTGCTTTGGGGTCACGAACTCTTGCCACGGTCATGAGGAGCAAACGGGTGGCTCCCGCAGAAGGCCCCAGCGCTCCAAGGAGGAAAAGAGCCGCCCGACCGAAGGCCACCACACGACCGGTATATGATCGGTAGGCGGTAGAGGATTATTTGGTGGCCCTACCTGTGGACCCAATCTGGATGCCTGCCAATGTGCGGCGATACATGGGTAAGTATAAATGGTAACCTTAATTCTGTTTTTTCTTCAATTTATTTTTGACAAGGTTTTTCCTTAGACTCGCTTGCTGAGAAACCAGCCGACCAGACTGCCGAACATGAAACAGATAGGTCGGTTGATCCAGCATGCGCCAACGTAACCGATCAGCCAACCACCCGACCAACTACGTTGGCATCTGCCCTACCAGCTGCTTTGCGAAGCGATTCAATATCCGTCCCCGAGGTAATCCCCCCAAAGTCTTTCATTTCTCGTAATTATGGTTTCTAACTTTACCTCTTTACCTGCGCGCAGGCAACTTCTTTCCCGATTGCAGCCCGGAGTGGTGAACAATTGGGCGGTATACCGAAGGAGCTGCCCCTGATGCGTCTTGACAAGGACCCGACGTTGAGGCAGATGTCTTCATCCACCTCTTCCCAGTCTGAACCGGAAATGCCGGTCGGCCAAAGGTCCGTCAATCCATCGGCGGGACCGTCAGTGATTCGTCGGGAAGAGGACCCGACGGTCATGGTGATTGCCTCATCGACATCTACCCTTCCTCAGCCGCCTGTGCTCCCGGTGAGCATTTAGCATGTTGTGAGATAATGTTTCGTATCTAGAGTCTAACTTATATTCCTTATCTCAGGGACGTGCGGCAGCTGATCCGGTGGTCGAACCACCGATCACTGAACAACAACCGCCGGCGGTCCCTGACCTGGTTCAACCGAACGCAGAACCAGGACCGCCGATCCTTGCATCAGTCCAAGCAGACCCTGAACCAGTCCAAGCAAACCCTGAACCAGTCCAAGCAGACCCTGTACCATCCAACACTTTGAAGCAGTCGACGTCTCTTCTTCAGAGTCGGGCGACCCTTCTGTTAATCAGAGCAGCGAAGCCGTGGTTAGTATTTTTCTTTGTTTTCATCCCCGTATGCTAATCGCAATTGTCTTTGACTTGACGTTTTACATTTTTAGGGTTCTGAGCCAGGCTTCACAGGTCCTCTGCCCGCAGCCGCCGAATCGGTTGGTCAGATGAGGAACCTTTCTGGCCCTGCCCCACTAACTCCGGTTTTGCTAACTCCTTCTGAAGCTACGGCTGTCCTCCACCAGGTAACGTCCATATAACTCCATTACCTTATTTTAACTTATGAATCTTTAATCACTGTGAGGTAGTTGAACAGGCAACTCGTGAGCTTAGTTTCCTGAGCAAAGTGCCATTAGTGGGATATGCCCGACTAGTAGTACTGCGCTGCGTCGATGTTTCGTTGGCTGATCTGAGCTCTGAAGATGTAAACTCTCTACTTCAGGTGGTTGTTGATTTATTGGTGCAGACTCCTACTGAGTTTGTCGTGGCACCAATTCTCAGTCGGATGATGGAAAGGATCATTGAACTTCTCAGCCCATTCCTGACATTGCAACCATTGAGGCGTCTCTGTCAAAGGCGACAGCGGTACTGAATGAAGCTTCTAGTAGGTTGACTGAACACCAGCAAGTGCGCCATCATTTGAGAGCTGAAATCTCTCAGAAAATGAAGGAACTCGAGAACCTTCAGAAACAACTGGAGTCATTAGAAGGCTGCATTCAGGAAGATGGTCACCTGGTGGAGGAGCAACGCCAGACTTGCGCCAGCCTGCATGACCAACTCCAAGCCAGTACTCGGTCAAGGATGATCCAGGAGCACGAAAGTGCCGTCTATCAAAGAAGAATGGCGCGCACTGAACAGAAATGGGCGGACCTAGTAACCGCCTTCAAAGCGCTTCTTATGTAATGTGTGTTGTCGCATTTTTATGTAACAAATGTAAACATTACCTTAAATTTCTGTAAAGTATAAATATAATATTCGTACAAAGATATATTAAATAATATAACTGTTGATGCAGTTTTTCAACAATAAAAAGTAAAATTCGAAAATAGAAAAATATCTCCCTGAGATTAGGGATTTCAAAGTAATGTAGAATACTAAAATTGTTACGTATGAAATTTTGAATTATGTTAAAAAGCTTAGGGTAAAAAGAAAAATGGGTCTAGGAATGCACTTGATCAAACTGGCGGAGGGGCCCTGTTGGAAAATCAGGAATAATAGATATATTTCTAAGGAAATTGCGGGTCGGAAAGGTCGGAAGGTCGGAAGGTCCGCAGGGCGGAAGGTCCTCATGTCAGGAGGTCCGGAAGTCGGGAAGTTCGCAGGTCGGAAGGTCCCCACGTCAGGACGTTCGCAGGTCGGAAGGTGCTCCGTTCGGGAGGTCCTCCGGTCTGGAGATACCCAGGTCGGAGCTCTGCAGGTCGGTAAGTGCTCAGGTCGGAAGGTCCCCAGGTCTTGAGGTCCCCAGGTCGGGAAATCCTCAGGTCGGAAGGTCCTCGGAACGGAAAGTCCGTAGGTGGAAAGGTCATCAGGTCGGAAAATGCTGAGGTCGGGCGGTTTGTAAGTCGGGAGATTTGCAGTCGGATCAATAAGGCGGAAAGTTTGCGGTTGGTCCAGGGAGTTAGATATTGTAGAAAGTGAGAATGACACTGTGGTCGGTTGAGGACACGTGTCGACAGGAGAAGGGTTGGCAGACCAACCAACTGTGGTCCCAAACACAGAGCAACCGACTGCTGTCCCGACTACAGAGCAACCGACCGGCTCTATTTGTCTTATCTCCTTACATGGACAGACTGTCCTCTACACGAACCTTCGCGTCTGTCCATACTTCTTCCTTGCCCGACCTTCGTTTTCATAGACATCTGCGCCTGTCCAACATTTTTTTTCCCGACTTGTGGGCCGTTTGGCTTATATCCTGACTGATCCAACATCCTACTGCCATTATTTATTATTATTATTATTATTATTATTTTTTATGCTCAACAATAATTATATTTTATATTTCTTCTTTATAATTTTTATTTTACTTTTTATTTATATTATCTTATATAAAGATATTGGATAATATAATATTGTTCATTATATATTATTTGAAATTAAATTTATATATTTATTAATTGAATACAAATTTCAATGATAGATTCAATTAAAATTAATTTCGTATTTTATATTTTTATTTTTATTTTATTTCAATAGTTTAATAATAAATATAGTTAATTATTTTAATTATTGTCAAATAAAAATTAACATTTAAATATACATGTATAATGTAATATTATTTTAGAAATAGTTATCATTTATAGTTGATTAATTAATTTCTAAATATTTTAATTATGTATGCACTCGTGCATAGCACGGGTTGAAATGATAGTTATTTTAATTATTATTACTGTATTATTTTGTTATGGTTAATTATTATTTGTAAATTGGTCAATTGATTTTGGTTTTGGATTGTAAATGTTTTCTGTTATTAGTATTTGTTAGGGTATTGAGTGGTGAATGCTGGCTTATTGAATACAAAAGTGGTGATTATCTACTTTAAGACTTATTGAGGACAACATACCTTGCATTAGGCAATAGGCACACGAGCGAAACTTTCAATGTTGAAAAACATATCATGTTGGTTATAATCTTTTCTTCAGTTGGATTCTACTTGTTCTAAAATGACTAAATTGTTGTATAAAAATCGTTAAAAAACTTTGACACACTGAGCGGGAAAAAAAAACACCGAGACACAGAGGTGATAACACAGTATATGAAAACGAAGATATCAATTGTAATCATTCAATATTAATCTTAACAAGGATCAAGCTGATGAGATAATGCATGTTCAATCATTATGAAAGTGATGTTGCACTAAAAATCTTGCCCTCAGAATTTTTGGAGTTGCAGCTGTAGAATGGATTTTATTCTATCATACAAGAAATCATGTTGAGATGAAATGGTTCTACGAATTAAGACCACATTAGACTTTGTTGTATAGCAAATAAATATGGACTAAATTAATGTAAGGCTGTAATGGAACAACATATGTGTCATATATGTAAATTAAAGTTTTCGGTCGTTGAGTAAATGTATTCCGGTTAAGCAAAGAGTATGCTGTCGGCAGCAACAATCTTCTGCCTGAAATCCGGTACTGTAGGCAGCTATGTCCCATTAATCTCGAGATCAGTGCTGACAAACAACAATGGTGATATATCCACATACTTGATCTCTAAACCATTAATGGACTTCGAAACGTCTATGGCTGTGTATATGGATTGATTCATTCCCAGCATTTCCAGTACGACATTGTCCAATAGCAAATGAAAAGCAGGACATACACAAAGAAGATTAGCTTAGGAAGATTGAAATATATTTTCCTTATTGCTATAATTACAATTTAATTGTATTCTAAAAGGTGTAGGAGAGCAAGAAACACTGATTCACTAACAAACCAGTGCCGTCTCTTAGCCTGTGAACGACATTGATCTTAGAATCTCTAATGTCACTGCATTTAAGTGTATAATAATACCAAATAAACAATATAATAAGCAAATAAGCAATTACATTCATAGGTAAGTACATCCCCACTCTTTAGTACAATAGACAAGTTAATTCTTCTATAGTCATTTATGAAATTTCGAATGAATATCATACCTTGACAGAACGCTAATGTGAATTTGGCCGGCTAATAGCATTCAAGTCACTTATGTGAGTAATTGTGGCCATATTCCTGTAGTTAAGCACGTATTGGAGAACTCAATAAAAAGATGTAATTTTTATAATACAAACTACAATCAATGTCCAACCTACCAATGAACACTGGATTCTTTAGTTTCAAACAGCTTCTGAAAGCGCATGCCATTAGATACTCTGGTGTGGTATATAGCCTTCACATATTTTGCCAGAGGTATAACAAACTCAAAGTGTTGACATCTGACAACAAATACCAGAGCAATCTATAAGAGATAATATACGTACATAAGGTGCAGATGATATAAACTCTATTTACATATATGCTACATGAAAAAACCATACATGCATAACAATATAAATGGCTAAAAATGAGCTTGCATCAAACAGTAGGAAAAAGTAGGACTGAAAATTCTGACAGAAATAGAAGATTCATGAATAAATAAATAGAGCATAACTATAACTCACACTAACATTAAGTGAATTATAAAAATATTAGAGAACTTACCATGTTTGATTTAAGCCTCCATAAAAATATATTCTATGAAAAATCACCAGAAAGAAACTGAAGAAGGCATGAGATGTGACATAGGCAAAAAATGAAATGAAAAAGAAATAGATTGTTGACAACAATGTGGGAGTAAGGGTAGCAGGTGGACTCTTATGGATGTGGACTATGTGGGATTTGGAGGTGGAGGTATATTAATGCCAGCCAATTGTAAAAGCTTCTTGTAAACTATGTTTTTCGTCCAAGAAGAATGCATTCCAGTGTTGATGTCTGAAGGAATGAGGACATGCAAAGAGTCAAAAGATTTTGCTCGTGATAATGCAACATATAGTTGGCCATGCATAAATACTGGTTGTTTCATGTACACTCCAACAACGTCTAATGTCTGCCCTTGTGATTTGTTAATGGTCATTGAGAAGCACAACTTCACTGGAAATTGAGTACGTATGAACTCAACAGAGCATTCATGTATATTGTTAGGATTTAAAGGTATTCGTGGTATAAAACATAAAGTTCCTTTTTGCGGGCCTGTGGCAATCTCTGCTTGTAAGAGATTGCGTGTAATTTGCTTGCAAACAAGCCGTGTACCATTTGAAAGGCCATTTGTGGGGTCTAAGTTACGCAATAGCATTATTGGTGCACCTGTCTTCAAAACTAATCTATGAGGTGGCATACCATTAGGTGTCAAAGTATTTAGGTAATCTTCATAATGTGCTTGTTGTGATGAATCTTTAGTTACATCTCTTGCAATTAGTACGATTGGTTCTCCAAACATGCTTTCAATTATTTGATTGTTAATAGTATCAACTGTCTCGTTGGTTGGTGTCAGTATAGATCTACCAATTAATGCAGCAGAGGAACTTGGATGGAGTAAATTCTGTGGGTAGATTTTGTCAATCAGTTGCAACAAGTTATCATTTTCTAAGCTAATCAATGAAGTTGTTGGGATCTGAATCTCTCCTTTGTTGTTATTTACACAAGAATTGTTCCATACTTCCTCAAGAAATGCTGCAAATGATGTATCGTTTTGTGCCCGCATATTGACAGTTAAGTGAAACTTATCTGCATGTGTAAATAGAGGAGACGATACACAACTTGCTTCGATGTACTGGTCCTTTGTTCCGTCTCTTATGACAGGAGTAATTTGATGAAAATCCCCCCCGAAGATTATAACTTTACCACCAAAACTGATGTTGTTATCCATAATATCTCTCATAGTAGTGTCAAAAGCCTCAATTAGTTCACGTCTTGCCATTGAAATTTCATCCCAAATAATTAGGTCGGTATGTCGTAACTCATTTGCTAAGGTAGACTGTTTGCTTATCTGACAAGTCTTATGCTCATTAATATCCAATGGCAATTTGAATTTTGAGTGGGCAGTTTGTCCATTAGGAAGGAGCGATGCAGCAACTCCAGATGTTGCTACAACAATAGATTTAATGTTATGATCAGATGTGTATGACAAAATAGTAGTGTATAAAAAATTTTTCCCAGTACCAGCTGGTCCATCAACAAAACAGACATAAGGTTTTTTGTTATGCAGTTTCTCAATAATAGTGTTAAAGACGAACCGTTGTTGTAAAGTAATAACTTTGCCAAACAAGAAGTTCCTTCTCTCCTTGTTTATGGCCAAAACTGTATGGTCAGCACTCGCGATGTTAAAATGCATCTAGTATCGATGGGCTTAGAAAATACCGTTGTTTGGGATAAAAATTCAACGAGCCAAGTTCGTGCAAAGATCATGATCTTTTTGTGACATCACATCGATGAGGCACTAAAAATGCAGTAAATGTTGCTGGAATTTCCACTCGACTTGTGGGAGAGATTGAAAGAAAGATACGATCATATGCGGCTGACTTTGTTGCCAAAGGCAAGAAGCGAATGGCAAAGCCTTTGGCTTCAGGACTTTTAAACACTCAAAAAGTATAATTTTGCTATATTTAAAATAACATTCCACTGTGGCAAAAATATATCTAAAACTGATATGATGGAGAAAAATTTATCAAATTTTGATACATTTAACATGGTTTTGCAGCAGCAGTATCGCGAAAGATGCTTTCAGAAATACTCTGAGCAGATCACCTGTATTTTGATGTCCGAACAAAACAATAAATTACTGTTGAAAAATCATGAATCTCGGCCGACAGGTGCAAATCCATTTCTATAGGAAAATGCAATACAACGGGAAAATCCAGTGCGTGATCGTGGGTATGCAAAAAATCAAAGAATTGATATCGATCGAAATTTGAATCATGGGCAGGGCCGGACTAACTCATACAACCACAAGAAGTATTTGAACAAGCTCTGTTATGTGCCGAATCGGCGTTACAATGATAGCCGGCCGTGTAGACCTCAACAAAGGTTTAACACCGGGAGAAACAGAGACAATGATGAGGAATACACCCGGTGTGAAATCAAAGGCCATTGGGCCCATGTTTGTTGCACAGTCAGTCATTTGACTGAACTGTATCGGGCCTCAAAAGAAAGGCAGGGAAGAGTTGCCGCTGAGAAAAATCATGCTGCCCACAACGACACATTCGATGATGTGCTGAATGAAAATATTACACACCTGGATGGAGATGACCTGCTTGAGATAGCTGATATTGCTAAATGATGAAATGCTGTTGTATGTTTTTTTATTATTTTGATGATTTATGCCCCGCTTTTCATAATACCCTCTATAATATAAGTCTATTTTGATTATGTTACTAATATATGTCTTTTATTATTTTTATCTTTTTGGAAAGATATGGATGCCAAATTTTTTGGAGCCGAACAATATATGCCTTATCGACAGTGTTATGGCTCACATCATTTTGAAAAACAAACTTTATTTTTCCCATTTGAATATGGGAATGATATGTGTTATATTACATAAATATTTTGTTATATTCTGAGCGATTTTTTGGTGTAAATTTTGTACATATGCTCATAATGGTGTGTTTTTGGGTTGTTCACTAGGCATTGCGGAGTTAGCAAATTTTTGGGCATATTGTGCAAACAAGGATCAAAATGTAGAAAGATGTTAGGCGTGATTGACAAAGAAATTGTCTGGGGTAGATTGACAAACTTAGAAATTGTGGGGATTTAATTGCAAATGGGATCTAATTACACAGAGGATCTAATTACAAAGAGGATCATGGGATGAAGAATTAAAAACATACGATTTGAAATTGAAGAAGGGGGGGGGGGAGAAAAAAGGATTACCACGTTTTTCACCACGACATCACTTCTGGAGAAATGAGAAAAAAATAAAATAAAAAAGAGCACGGCATAATGCAGAGATTTTTGAGAAGCAACACAAAAAGAACTTTCGGACATTTCTTTGTTCATTCTTAGAAATGGTTTGTTGTCAATTCTTAAAATTGAAGGCATGATGAACTCTTTGATTTGTTTTGTGTTTTCAATTTCTGTGAATTGTGAGTAATTTCATTTCTAGCGTAGGTGTGAATTGATGTTGGGGATTGAATTTGTGAGACTTGGCTTTGGTTGAATTTGATGTTCATCGATATTGGATATTTTTAATTTTTCTAATTTTTAAGTTTAGAAATCTTAAATTGATTATTGCGTACGTATTACTTTGAGATTTTACAGCTATACTGGAGATTGACACCTGTAATTGTGTAATCTTCCAATTTGTGTAGCAACCTAGAGGAAGGATACTGTAAGGAAGCATTAAAATCAAATTTGAATAAATCTTTTTCCGAATTTTGTTAAATTGAATTGGTCTTTTCTGATCCTTAATGCTGTTGAGTCAGTAAAACTACTGTCGTTCCTAGGCTTCTCACTCGATTAGGGAAATAGCTAACGGTCATACCTTAACTATTAACAAAGTTAGGAAAGGTTGGTTGTGAACGTGTGTAGATCAACTATAACCAATTTATCCAACTAGTCAATGAAATTGATTTTTAGTCGATGAACAAATTTTATATCCCCAACAGAACATGCATGCCTATGCTAGAGTTTAATAATATTTGGTAAACCATCTTGCATTTTCTTTTATTTTATTTTATTGAGAAAAATTATTTTTCTCAAATTTAGTGTGATAAATCAAGCCCCCCCATTTAATATATTTAGTATAATTATAAATAACCGAATAGACAATATTGTTACTGTTCCCTGAGGAGAAGACCCTACTCACCAAAATTACTGCATTTTGCATATTTCAGTGGCGTAGGAACTAACACTTATTTTTCAGTTGTGCGATAGAATTTCAATTCTTCCACCGTTGCTGGGGATAGTATAAGGATTTGATATTTGGTTGTATTTATCTAACTTTATTTCTCGCTTAATGGTTTATGCCTCGAACTGGTCGTAGAGGTCAATTATTCTTTTATTCGAAGATTGAAAGAACTGCATGTTGTTTGAGAAAAGAAGCTAGGGAACGAAAGAAGGCCAAAACAAAAGTTAAGTCGCTGGAACTTAACTTAGCTATTCAACTAGCGGATGTTTCTAGTTTCGAGAAGGGTGAAAAGGCCAAGGAAGTTGAAGAAGTTTTGATACATCAAATCGAACGACAGAGAACTCTGAGGGAGCTAGCTGCCCCCGATTTAATTCAGCATCCATTTTGTATTAGTTTTCTTGCTATAGCCGATAATACAACATTTGAGTCAAAATCTGGACTAATACATTTATTGCCGTTATTTAATGGCTTGGCAGAGGAAGAACCACGCAAGCACTTGTAGGAGTTCAATATGGTGTGTACGAGCATGAAACCACCGGGAGTCATTGAGGA